CAGGCATGTGCCAACATTTTTTAATAATTGAAGAAGATTACAGGAATGATGTTGATGATAATAAAAATAGTACGAAATCTAAGTTGAGGTAAGAACACAGTCACAGGCATTCGTTCATATTCATCTATGGCTGCCGTAAGAGCCAGCAGAGCACCGTTGAGTATTGGTAAGAGCAGCTCCGGAGTGTAAAGCCAAAAAACATTTCCTGTCTGATCCTTTACAGAAACATTTTGCTGACCCCAGATCAAGACTACGTTTCCCAGCCTCCCTTGCAGCTAGGCCCTCCATGGGCTCTGAAGAGTGGGAGCAAAGTGGGATATCATCTCCAGCTCCTCTGTGCTCTCCTCTATACTTGGCAGAGCCAGGCAGCTCTGACACTGAAGCCACAACAAGGCTCCCATGTGGCAGGACAATGGCTCGGAGGACCCCGGTCGCAGAATGACTGTGAGAATCCGCACTGCCCTGCCAACCTGTGCTACCTGCCACAGCACTGTGAGGTGAGAAGAAAGTAACATCAGGCCTCTATCGGCCACTGAATTATTATGGAACAGCATCCCTTCCTCACCCTGACCAGTAGAGACATCTGCGTCCAACTGGACACTGTCTGTGGGATCCTTTACCCGTAGATGTCAGAGGTTTTATTCAAAGACAGGAGCTCCCAGGCGAGACAGGACAGAGGTGCCCTTCCAGGACCAGGGTCTCTCTTGTGGCATCCATGTACCTTCCTCTTCTCCTTCCTAGCCAGCCAGCTCTCTCTGTTCTCTCACAGGGGGAGAGTGACCCTGGAGGGTCTCCAGCCCTCAGTCAAGTTCACCAACGCTCCTCATTCCCACACTCAGCTCCCTCCTCACCTTCCCCTAGAAGGACCCCAGGTGGGCTCAGCTGTGTTTTTGAGTCAGACCACCAGAGTCATACCGTGGGGACAGCCTTTGCTTCAAAGCCCACCCTGGATCAAGCTTCTGGTGTCTGGGGTAGAGGGCTTCTGCCCACACAGCATGCACTGGGGGACAAGGGTTCCCTTAACCAGGAGATGGACCTCGATAAGGGTCAGAATTCCCAGGGCAAAGGGCTTGGCCTGGGCCGGAGCCTGTGCTCACTGGCACCTCCTCCATACCGCATGACCCCAGGCAAGTCAGAACATCCATCCCCACTGCTAGGAAACAAGAGTCACAGTCAAAACACCTGCCTCCCAGGGCTGTCGAGAGGATAAAATGAATTCACATGGTGAGACATTTAGCACAGCGCCTAAATGACAAATAGCTTTTAGGGAAGGTCAGTGATCAGAAGTAGTCAACTGTTCCACTGCTGTGACCAAAAGACCCAACAAGAACAATTTTAGAGGAGGAAAAAATGTATTTGGGGCTCTCCGTTTCAGAGGTCTCAGTCCATAGAAAGTCGGCTTCATTTTGAGGAGTGCAAAGTAAGGCGGAACATCAGGGTGGAAGAGTGTGTGGAGGAAGTTGGCTCAGAACATGACAACCAAGAAGCAGAGAGAGCTCCACTCAACAAGGACAAGATATATACCCCAGGGACCCTCTCCTCCAGACACACCCACCCAGTTAATCCCTATCAGGGGATCAGAGCACAATCAATTAGGTTAAGGCTCTCATAACCCAATCATTTCACCTCTAAATTTCCTTGCATGGTCTCACACATGAGCTTTTGGGGGACACTTCACAAACGATTTTCTCTATAATAAGAAGGAGATAGGAAGTCAAGCCTTTATTCCACTATTGCTACAAAACCTCTCAAAGCCTTTATTCCCAGCCACAGTAGCCACATGGGGTAGACCAGATGACCCTGAGTCCCTCTCAACTCTTGTCCTGCTATGATGGGTTTCTGGTTTCTGATGTGTTCTTGGTGTCGGTCCCATGGCCATTTACATAGCCAGTAAATGATTCAAGTCAGCTTGAGCAAATGTAGCGGCCCAGCCACAGGTACACCGGATCAAGATCCCTGGGCACAGAGACTGCCATCCATTGAAGATCCACTCAACTCTCTGTGCCAGTCCTGTGCTTGGTCCTCCATACACACCAGCCTCCTGAGCTTCCCCTTGAACCAATGAGAATGAAGCTCCGAGAGGGTCAGCAGGTTTCCCACACCCACATACTTCAGGATACTCCCACTCACTGTGTCTGTCCATCACCCAGAACTCTGAGAGTCCATGACTGAGTCCATCCCATCTGGAGACAGACATGCAGAAGACAGTCAGGGGTTGCAGAACCAGGGGTAGCAGGAACCCCAGTGGGCGATGGAAGGGTAGTGTGATGTGGGTAGGATGGAGAAGGCTCAGAAAGAAAAAAAAGGGGACCCCTGGAAAAATGCAATAGGACAAGTAGATGACATAGCCCTGAGCTTGGTCAATTCATTTCTGCTGAGTTTTCCAAATACAAGTAGTAGAGTCCCTAATTAGCAAACAGAGCCCTGGCCCAGAGAAGGCCAATGCCCTAGGTGCTCACTCAGCTCTGCTTCCCTGTCCCTGTGTGACCTTGAGAATCAGGCCCTGCCCTGCTCCAGCCACAGTAGTCACATGGGGTAGACCAGATGACCCTGAGTCCCTCTCAACTCTTGTCTTGACATGATGGGTCCCTGGTTTCTGATGTGTCCTTGGTGTAGGTCCTAACCACTGGTCACCCCACAATTTCCATCCCAACCTAGGACCCAGGACATTTCCCTCCCTAATTTATTGTATGCTTTGGAGTCATGGAAAAAAAAAAAAACCATTATCCTCAAAACCCCAGCAGGTCTCTTAATGACTACTCCACTAATTAGCAGCAGCTGTTAATGAAGTGTACAGGTACAAGCCTAGCCTCATCAATTAATCCATACATGCTCCTGGGCTGCAGTAATATTTAAAGGGGAAATCGATACCTGGTAGCTGGGCCTGGGGAGGTCAGTCTGGGTGGGCAGGGAAAGGATAGCATTGCAAGGAATTTGTAACCAGAATAGTCCATACCTGGAGCCCAAGCAGGGGAACAGGGACGAGGACAGCCCTTAAGAGATAGAAGGACTCAAGTAGGCCTGCACCATGGAGCAGAAGGGGCTTAGTGGGCAGGGTGACCAGCCACTGCTCCCCCATGGACGGACAGAGAGCTCCATGCCAGACCAGGAGGGGCACCCAGGGCCAACAGCCCTCTTCAGCTGTTTCCAATCCATCATATCCACAGACTTCACTATTCCTTCAGAGTCAGGGGGCCGAGAAGCTTGCTGTTACCTCCTTCCAGAAGAGATGGAGATCAAGGCACTAAGGAAACAGTGTCTTGCCCTCCGCTACCAGGCCAGTAAGGGAAACAACCAATTTCCTGGCCTATGCTGCGCTAACCGTCTCACAGGTGCCATCTCCTTCAATCCTGGCACTAGCTCCATGGAACAAGGACCCTCATTCCCCCCTTTATGGCAGAAATACTGTATCTTTAAGAGGTTAAAATATTTGTTTAGGGTAGCAAAGTTGGTCATTGGCTAGAATTACATCCCAGAAGCCTACCTCCACATACTTAGCCCACCTAGACCCCTGAGAGGTGATAAACCCTGAGCCCCATGAATCAAGACCCACACCTGTCCTCAGCCCCGGCCTCAGTTTCCTATTGCAGCTGTAACAAGTATCTCAAAATAAACCTATCACCTCACAGTTGCAGAGGTCCAAAGTCAGTAAGAGGGGTGGCTGGACTAAGGTCAGGTGTAGACCAGGCTGCACGCCTTCTGGAGGCTGGGGAGGATCTGTCCCCTCGGCCTGTTCCAGCTCCCAGAGGCTGCCCTTCACTCAAGACACGTCCACGTTAAGTCAGCATGACTGTCACCCCCCACCACTGCTTCCCCTGTCACTCCCACTCCTTGCCGTTCTTCTGCCTCCCTCTATAAAGACCTTTGTGATTACATCAGGCCTACCAGATAATCCAGGATAATCTCCCCATCTCAAGATGCTTAGCTTAACCACATCTGCAAAACTCCTCTTGTTACATAAGGTGACACAATCAAAGGTTCCAGAAATGAGGATGGGGCCACCTTTGGGGGGCCATTAGTCCACCCACTACACCCTCCCCCACCCTCTATTTCTTCCTCTGAAGCTACCCGTGCCCCACCCTCACTCAGCTTCTATTTCAGCATCAGTCAGAAAGATGAGACCACCCTGGGAATGCCAAACAGAGGAGATTTAATGCAGAGCATGAGTTACGGGGGTGATGAGAGAAATGAGAAGCCAAATAGGGCTGTTGAAGCAGCCTAAGAATTACCAACAAGAGGAAGTAGCCTTGTCTTTCTTTTTTTCTTTCTTTCTTTCTTTCTTTTTTTTTTTTTTTTTTTTTTTTT